AAAAAAAACGAAAGAAGAGAGTTTCACATAAATAATACTGGAAGGCACCTGAGTCATTTTACATGGTTGCATTTTTTTTTAATGGCAAATTTAAAAAGGGTATATGTAATGCTTTCTGCTAGTTAACTAGGATGCTCAGATTTTTATATTTCGGAAATCTGAAAATGAATAAATTTCTGTTTTCATTGTGTTCTTAAGCAGTGAAATTCCCTGTACTTTGTTTTTTTTTGTTGATTGATTGAGGCAGAGTGTCTCTCTGTCGCCTGGGCAGTGTCATGATCACCGCTCACTGCAACCTCAAAACTCCTGGGTTCAAGCGATTCTCCTGCCTCAGCCTCTTGAGTAGCTGCATTTACAGGCATGCGCCACCACGCCCTGCTAATTTTTCTAGTTTTTTGTAAAGATGGGGTCTCACTCTTACTCAATCTGGTCTTGAACTATGGACCTCAAGCAATCCTCCTGCCTTGGCCTTCCAGAGTGCTAGGATTATAGGCATGGGCCACCTTGCCCAACCTGTACTTTGTTTAAAAAACAAAACAAAACAAAAAAACACCTCATAAGGTTTTATTTTCCTATTATTATGATTGAGAGTTTTTTAAAGGCTTATATTTACTTAATGTAATGAAAAGCATTAAATCTTAGAAAACTGTCATCTCTCCAAGCCCCAAATCAGGAAGACTGATGACCTCTTCCCAAACCAGGGCATACCCTAAAAATCACACTGATAAATTCAGCCTACCTGAGAGCCCCCGGGAGGTATAATTGTAGCTGAACTGAAAACCTCTGAAACTAGCAGCTGAGCAGACCTTCCTGTCATGTTGGCCACTTGCTCCCCAGGACCATTATCACCTAGTTAACACAGGTTTGCCTTCCCTCAAATAGGGAGAAAGCCGAAAATACTTTCTACCATTTACTGAGCCTTGCCATGGGCTAGGCAGCGAACTACCTTTCTGTACGTTATCTCATTTAATTCATAACTCCGAAACTAGATTTTTTTCCTCTTCAGAGATGTGAAAATTAAGACTGGGTTTAAGTGATGTGCTGAGGATTCACAGCTCATAAGTGGCAGAGCCAGATTTGCTGACTCCACGCAGCTAACCTGCACCGGTGCCGTGAATATGAGATGCCCAGGACTTATGGAAGAGTTTTGAAGTTGGTAGAAAAGGACCTGAATATTTGTTGAATAATGTGTACAGAGGCCTGTGGTAGATTCTTTTTATTTATTTATTTTTTAAAGAGACATGGTCTTGCTGTATCACCCAGGCTGGTCTTGAACTCCTGGCCTCAAGTAATTCTCCCACCTCACCCTCCCAAGTAGCTGGGATTACAGGTGTGATTCATCGTGTCTGGCTCCATGGTAGATTCTTGGAGAAGTCAAGTTAACATTCAGATCACTCAGGTCTCATATTTGAACCCAGATCTGTCTGTGTCTTTTGCTATTATCATGAGACAGTGTCAACCAAGAAGCTGTTGAGAAATATGGACTCTTACAATGGTGGAAAAGAAAGAGAGCCAGAAAACTTCATAAGTACGTCTAACCTCATGGTTAGAAATTAGTAGTATATCATCTTGGACTAAACATCTTGATTTTTTTAATTTTTAGAGAAAAGTCTTGCTCTATCTCCCAGGCTGGAGTGCAATGGCACAATCATAGCTCACTGTAATCTCCACCTCCTGGGCTCAAGAGATCCTCCTGCCTCAGCCTCCTAAGTAGCTGGGACTAGGTATATGCCACCAGACATGGCTAATTTTTTTTTTT